GGTATACCATAATGAATCATCCGCGTTGGTCGCCGTTGGATACATGTTGGGTTAGCGCTTCCGTTCTGATTCCAGTCGCTCGGTGCCATGATGAATTCTCCATGTTGGATCCATGTTGGGTTAGCGCTTCTGTTGTGGCACCAGGCGCTCATGCACCATGTTAAATTATCCATGTTGGACCTATGTTGGGTTAGAGCTTCTGTTGTGGCACCAGCCGCTCAGGTACAATGATGAATTGTCAAATGTTGGATCCCTGCTGGATTGTTACCTCAATATTTGGCCCACACATATGTTGCACCCATCATGTGCAGAGAGAAATGCGCAGATATCTAATAATTATAGTAACCATGACGTGATGTAACTTATATATTTACTGCGTGGGTGGTTTGCTTGTGGTGGTTTACTTCCGAGTCGTACTGAAAGCGTGCCGCCTTATACTTATCGCTATATAATGTTGCCTATGGCATTAAAAACCCAGGTGTCACCTACAATCGCACCTGCTGTAAGAGTTCAACAAAGCTTCTTAAAGCCGACCTTGCTTTATTCCACAACTATAAGAACCATCCTTACTTTTATTTTTATTCTGAGCGAACCTATACGTTTACCCTTTTCTTAGAAATCTGTATAATCTTATTTTTCGCTTTTATTTTATTTCCCGAATGCGTGTAAATTCAATTGTCTATGAAAATAGTCCAATTGTGTCTCGATAACGGAAAAACACAGCGACAGCGTTCTGTCTATTCATATGACAGCGTAACTGAACACAAACAAGAGAGCTTTATTATATTTTCTTATAATGCACAGAATTTATTCGTCTGCAATTACATGCGCAATGTTCTGTTTATCCGTCTGCGCATGAAGTTGTCAACTTATCTTCGTGTAGCATGACATCGCGATGGCGTCTGGAGGCAACCATCGATTGTGTTATCGTGAAACTCACGTGGCGCTTAGCGAACTAGCGTGAAGCCAAGATGGCCGCCATCGTGATCGCCTGCTGACCAAGCACAGTCACGAAGCAACGCGAATCCAACTATCGCTCAGGTTTCACAAGAGCGACGCGAAGCTCAGATGATCCGCCGTCTTTACCGCTCGGGGGTTTGTGACGAGAAGGAAAACAAAGGAAACGCGAAGCCAAGTTTGGCCGCCATATTGCTTGCTGATGGTGCCCCCACGAAGTTGGCGTGTCGTACATCGGGCAAGCACACGGGTGGCGTGCATGCGCTATTGCATTCTTGCGAGAGTTTATCTGCAGCATCTCGTCTCCCCAGCGCTAGCGCTCCACCCCGGCACGTTTCCCTCACGCAGATGACGCCACGCGGTATACGTAACCACCGGCACGCTTGTTAATGTAAATGTACGTGTATGTAATGTACATGTAAATTCAGCTTTCGCATGGTCAAAAACATATAATTTGATATCGAAAACGAACAATTCTGTCAAATTTTATGGCAGAAATAATAATTTTGTCTCAGAAAAGGCGGCCATCTTACATTTTTAAGTGGCTAATGGGCTTCTTTTTTTAAGTAGTGAGTTCCATATGAGTGTCCATGAGAATTTTGGTGCTTGTCTCACTATTTGAATGATTATTTTACTAATCTGCTATATCGGCACACCGAGGTCAGAGGGAGCACGTCGCACGCGTATTGGCGACACAAGAGGCGGAAAGCTACGAGGGGGCAAAATGGCTCTCTCGTCGTTGCCGGACAGACGCTCAGTGCATGCCAATGTCCGCGCGCTTTCTCCGCTTTTCTCCAACGCGACGACGATGCGAAATCGCCCGTGGTAAGGCGTCGTAGGCTTACCAACGTTCGCTTCGAATTGGAATACACTGTTGCCGTTGCCGTTACCGACTATATAACGTGTGTGGCTGTATAGGCGATGAGCGGTAACGCAGGTTGCGTACATAATTAATTTCGCTTCTCCTCGCGGTGCACGTGTGGCCGATGACTGACGCAAGTAAGCGAGAAGAAGAGCAACAAGGACGATAGAGAATTATTGCATGGGAGTGAAGCCATTCTCACGTTATTTTGGTCAGCACGCGCGCACACGTGTCCTGTTTATGTAACGTCTCATCGTTCACTACTGGTGTCGTTAGCGCAATGGTTCATTACCACAGTTGTTATTACAATGGTTCATTACCACAGTTGTTATTACAATGGTTCATTACCACAGTTGTTATTACAATGGTTCATTACCACAGTTGTTTACAATCACAAGTGTTCATGTACCAAACAAGTTGTTATTAACAATGGTGTCCAATTTAGCGTGTACTCATGTTCATACAGTTGTATCAACAGTTGTTATTACAGTTGTTATTACAATGGTTCGTTACCACAGTTGTTATTACAGTTGTTATTACAATGGTTCGTTACCACAGTTGTTATCACAATGGTTCATTAGCACAGTTGTTATTACAATGGTTCATTACCACAGTTGTTATTACAATGGTTCGTTACCACAGTTGTTATCACAGTTGTTATTACAGTTGTTATTACAGTTGTTATTACAATGGTTCATTATCACAGTTGTTATTACAGTTGTTATTACAATGGTTCGTTACCACAGTTGTTATTACAGTTGTTATTACAATGGTTCGTTACCACAGTTGTTATTACAGTTGTTATTACAATGGTTCATTATCCCAGTGTATAGGCAATGTTTCATTATCAACAGTTGTTATTGCAATGTTTCGTTACCACAGTGTTATTACAATCGTTCCGTTCACCACAGTTGTTATCACAGTTGTTGATTAGGCAGTTGTTATTGCAGTTGGTCCTATATACAATGGTTGGTCATTAATCAACAGGTTGCTTATTACAATAGGTTCGTAGCACAGTTTGTTAATTACAATGTTCATTATCAGCAAGTTTTATTACAGTTGTTAATTACATGATGTCGTTACCACAGTTTGTTATTACAATGGTTGCATTATCACAGTTGTTATTACAATGGTGTGCGTTAGCGCCACAGTTGTT